TTCTGTGTGGTTATAGTGGGAGTCTGGGCAGCCAAGATAAACGAGCAGCCTCCCCCAACGCAAGATCATCCTCGGCCACATACTGAATTTGAGGCCAGCCTGGGGTTCATGGGGGACCTATCTAAACATTCTCTCCCGAAGGTCCCCAACATGAAGACATCCAAGCCTAGCGCATTTCCCGCTAGGTGATCTCTAGACCCCAGACCTCTGCTATATTCCCAGTTCTTCCAACAAAGTCTGGTACACAGTAGGGGTTCACTAAATACAGCAGAGTCAGCCAAACCCCGAGATCTGCTAAGGGTCAGCTTCCTCACAGACGTGAGGTTCCTGATGGGGAAACTGAGGCCAAGGGCCGAGGTGCTGACCCGGGGCTGCCTGGCGAGGGAAAGATGACCCGGTAGGAAGATGTCGGGTGAGTCTGGGCTGACAATGTGATCTTCTGGACTTTCATGAGCGTGATCTTGGGGATATGGGAGAGTTGAATCGAATTGCCTTCCCCGTTTCCCAGAAATGTCTGCTCTACGCCCTGACCACAGACCACAGCTCTCTCCCCATCCCTTCCTGTTCCTACTTTTGGGGCTGGATCGTTGATGAGGTGCCTCTTTCACCTGCAGACCTTGCCAGCAAGATGCTATCCTGCCTCAGCCATGCCCAGGATGGATGCTGGGGCTGCCTGCTGTTGGAAACCCCTTCCCAAGGTGACTCCCGGTGACTCAGGCTAGTCTAACTGCTGAACCAGGAATGGGGTGTGGGCTCCCGCAGGGATCTCAGCCATCTCAGGCACAGGCTTGTGGGCTCTGGGTTCCCTTCATGTTTTTATTTTTACATGTGCGGTTTGCTTGCATGCAGTACTTGAGGAGGCCAGGAGAGGGCGCCAGATCTCCTAGAACTGGAGTTGGATGTGAGCCACTGTGTAGGTGCTGGGAATTGAACCCCAGTCCCAAAACCAGCCAGGGGCCGGGCGGAGGTGGCGCATGCCTTTAATCCCATCACTTGGGAGGCAGAGGCAGGCGGATCTCTGTGAGTTCAGCCTGGTCTACAAGAGCTAGTTCCAGGGGGCTGGAGAGATGGCTCAGCGGTTAAGAGCATTGACTGCTCTTCCAGAGGACCCGGGTTCAATTCCCAGTACCCACATGGCAGCTCACAACTGTCTGAAAATGCAGTTCCACAAGATCTGACACCTTCACATCAACGTACATAAAATAAAGTTAAATAAACCATTAAAAAAAAGAGGGGTTTTAAATGATGGACCATTTTTCCAAGTCTCTCTTTTTTTTTTCTCTGTGTAGTTTTAGAGACTGTCCTGGAACTCACTCTGTAGACCAAGCTATCCTTGAACTCACAGAGATCCACCTGCCTCTGACTCCAAAGTGTTCAAAGTTCTGGGATTAAAGGTGTGCACTACCACCGCCTAGACTGTGGGTTTTTTTGTTTTTTTTTTTTTTTTTTTTTTTTTTTAAGACGGGGTTTCTCTGTAGCCCTGGCTTTACTGGAACTAACTCACTCACCTTGTAGACCAGGCTGGTCTTGAACTCACAGAGATCCCTCTGTCTTCCGGTACTGGGATTAAAGGCTGTGCAGCTGAGAATGACCTTGATTTCCTGACCCTTTCACCTCGACCTTTTTGAATGCTCTGTGAGCACCACCAAACCCAGTCAGGATGCCCAACCCCACCCCCACCTCTCTCCCTCTCTCTCAGGTTAGGGAAGGTCTCAACTATGTAGCCTTGGCTGTCCTGGAACTTTCCATGTGGATCGGGCTGGCTTTGAACCCACAGAGATCTATCTGCCTGTCTCTGTCTCCAGAGTGCCTCTGTTTACCCCTTTCCTCTCAGCCCAGACTCCACCCCTGCTCCTTGCCAGGGCTGGCCTCCACTGGCCCATCTCCCCATCCTGAGCGCTCACACAGCCACACCTATCCCAGGTCGCTGTGGGGCCAGGAAGTGACAAGATACTCCCAGCACTACCTGGTCTTTGCTTCAGTGGCCGTCACCACTCTGGGGGCTTTCTGCTTCACATCAGCTGTCCACTGCTTCAATGACAGGTGACATTCTGGGGCCACTAAGCAATAAACTAAAGGCCAGCAGAAGGGGGCGCTTCACTCGCTGCTGTGAATAGCAGCACCGTCTGGAAATTCCAGTTATCCGGAAGACTGGGAGACTGAGTCAGGATGATAGAAATTTGAAGTTAAAATTTACCTCTAGACTGGGAACATGTTTCAAATAAAAACAAACAAACAAATAAATAGTTGAAGTTGAATAGTAGCGCTCTCCCTAGAATCCTCCAGTAAGGGGCAGGACTGGGGGCGTGGTCAGAGTGAAGCCCGCACAGAATCCCCAGAGAGGGGCTGGGGGCGTGGTTAGAGTGGAGCCCCGCCTAGAACCCCCAGCCAACGACATCTGCCTGTTAAGGAAGAGCTGCCAGAGGGTGGCTGGCAGACCGGGACCACCTGGTTTCGGAGAACATTTCACTTTCTTGTGGGTTGGGATGAACTCTTTTCGAGAAAGGGTCTCACTGGAACTCAGAGATCCGCCTACTTCTGCCTCCCAAGTGCTGGGGTTAGAGGCGTGCGCCGCCGCCACCAACACACTTAGTATAGGAAAGGGCTCTGCCACTGGTCCATGCCTGTGCTCTTGAAAATGGCTGGCAGGATCTCGGGCTTCCGAATCCTGTCTTTCACCTCCACTGCCCAGAACCCTCCATAAATCCTGCCTCTGTCAGAATCAAAATCAAAGCCAAGAGCCCTGAGGCCCTGTTTCTCAAGGAAGTATCTCAGAACTGCCTACAGCCAAGCGGGCTCCCTGAGTGTCTTAGGATGAAAAGGAGGGAATGAGGGTTCCATCTGCCAGAGTCTGGGGGTGAGGCTCCCTAAAGTCAGCTGACATCTAGTACAGGTGGGGAAACTGAGGTAAAGGTGCAGCTACTTGGAGCAATCCCTCCCTGGAGGTCTGGTCGTTCTGCCCTCACCTCAGTGAGTGGCCGGAGACCTCGAAGAGGCTCCCAACAACTTCACAGCTAACAGGTGCCTGTTTGCACTGGGGACTCTGGGAGGTTCCTGAAGGCAGAAGTCTTATCTGAGGCCCCAGACTGAATGGGAAGATACCCCCCAGTTCAGGAGCCCGGCGGGGGTGGGGCTGGAATGGTGGGCCAGGAGCCTTCACCCCGAGGACATGGGGGAAGCTGAGAGGTAGGGTGGGGATGCCTGAAGAGGGGGCAAGGGTCCTGATGGTGGGTGGAGCACAACTTCTACTGATTATTTATCTACTTATTGATTGATTTTTGTTTCTCTGTATAGCTTCAGAGCCTGTTCTGGACTCTGTAGATGGGTCAGGTTGGCCTTGAACTAACAGAGATCCACCTGTCTCTGCCGTCTGAGTGCTGGGATTGAAGGAGTGCGCCTCATTTCCCGGACTGCTACTGATTCTTGACAGGGCCTGCACCTCGGTGTCCCTGAGGGGACACTAAAGGAGGAGGGGGTGCAACTGGACGCAGCACTCCTCCCCCAGCTCCTGGGCCCTGCTGTGAGGCTATTGTGATTGCCGGAGAGGTGCCAGGCCACGCTGCCTTGTATCCTGCTGGGGCCCCTGCCAGGGCTGATGGAACTGAGTGTCTGCAACAGCTCCCCGGGGGGGCCAGCTGAACTCTGCCATGCTCTGTACCCACAGTGGGGACCGTCAGTGGTGTGGTTTGTTTCTATGATGGCTTGTTGTGTGAGGGAACTGAGGCCACAAGAGGGGTCAGGATGGACAAGGCCACCTCTGAGGACTGAGTCCCCCAGGAGAAAGGAGCCCCAGGAAGGGGAGTGGTGGGGCTGAGAGACACACAGATTTCTGCAGGCCGTGTCCTGGGACTGCAGGCATAAACACGCCCAGCAGGGGGCAGAAACAGCCACGCTCTCAGCAGCTTGGCTCCTAAAAGATGATTCTACACTATGTTGGGGATTTTCAAAGAAAAGAGAGCCTGGGAGCTGAGATTTAACAGAAACTTCAGTTGTTTCGGGAGACACGTCAGAGGGCTGGGGTACACTGCTAAGCAGGCTGTGTATTGCTCAAAAAACCAGACCTGTCTGTGTATAAGAGACTCCTTTGGGGGACACCTAACTCCAACCTTTTTTCTCACTCCATGCAGACTCTGGGGGACCCTTCTTGGTCTGTGGGAGCCGGGCCCGTGGCCTTGTCTCCTCCTCAGGTCGCCGGATGTCTATACTCAGGTGTTTGCGTTGGTGGCCTGGAATATGTTTCTGAGATGTTGTGAGGGATGTTGGCCTCTCAGCTCCCACTGGAGCGGAGATGAATGGCTCAGAGCTGGCTGGAGAGTCTTGGGAACTGAGGGCTTGGGCTAAAGCATCCACACTAAAGGAACAGTGGCACTGAAGGCTGGCAGGACACGAGACACATGGCCTGATGTGTGCCGAGACCCTTCCACAGCCCCTGTGTTCATCATCCCACACCATAGGTCCCCTTGCCGGTGGCTCCTGGGCCTCTGTGCGTTCTCTGTTCACTATGGACGGCAGTCTAACCCCACTAACACATCGACAGGGGACTAATATATATAGTGATGACAAAAATAAAAATGGTAGCCGGGCAGTGGTGGCGCACGCCTTTAATCCCAGCACTGGGGAGGCAGAGGCAGACGGATCTCTGTGAGTTCGAGACCAGCCTGGTCTACAAGAGCTAGTTCCGGGACAGGCTCCAAAACCACAGAGAAGCCCTGTCTTGAAAAACCAAAAATAAAAATGGTATCACTCTATCCCTGAAATCGAAGATCAGCCTGGCCTCCTATGCTAAAGTTGCCTCAACACAGCAATCATTGTATCCATCTTCGCTCCTGAGCCATCTTGTCCCTGTACCTCTAAGACCCAGAAGGGCCCACTTCTTCTCCCTCCCCTCCACTTGCTCCGTGCTCCTCAGGAACCCACGAGCACACACCATATCTTTGGAAGCTTTCAGGTGGTCCCATGCTCTATCCTAGTCTCCAGGCTCAGAGAGAAAAGGCAGGTGGTCCTGGTCACCATAGTGGTTTTATTGTCTTTATTTCTTTGGTGAGGCAGAACCCCAGGGTGGGAGAGGCTGCCTCGGCTACCTGCTAAGGACACTTTTTGGGATACTGCAAGAAAGGCCCAGCTGAGGACTTGAAGGAGGATAATAGAAAAGACCCTGGGAAATCCTTTCCCCCACATGGAGGGCTCTGTATGCTCCTATGATTCTCTGTATGATTGAACATTTTGTCTTTCTTTTTAAAGTTTTTATTTATTTTTTTTTTGAGACAGGGTTTCTCTGTGTAACAGCCCTGGCTGTCCTTGAACTCAGAGATCTGCCTGCCTCTGCCCCCCAAGAGCTGGGATTAAAGGCGTGTAAAAATATGGGCCTGTATAATATGGCCCTACAACCACCCAACCTTTTTTTTTTTTTTTTGATTTTCGAGACAGGGTTTCTCAGTAGCTTTTTGGTTCCTGTCCTGGAACTAGCTCTTGTAGACCAGCTGGCCTCGAACTCAGAGATCCACCTGCCTCTGCCCCCGAGTGCTGGGATTAAAGGCGTGTGCCACCACCACCCGGCCCACCCAACCCTTTTTAAGTTTTTTAGAGATATAAGGTTTCAGGCTGGCCTTGAACTCATTGTGCAACCAAGGCTGGCCCTGTACTCCTGATCCTCCCGCCACTATCTTCCAAGTGCTGGGGTGACAGGCATGTGCCCCCGTGTCTGTTTTACGTGGTGCTGGAGATGAAGGCCAGGCCTGGTGGAAGCTGGGAAAGCACTGTAGCTGCTGAGCTACAGCTCTCCATTCTTCGTGGTCCCCTTCAAGGCACATGTGTAACTCTGAGTGGCAGCTGTCAGAGGGAAGGGTCATGCCCCAAGCAGCACCAGGCTGATGTGCAGGGCGGTAGGCACTAGAGTGACTCTGAAGTGCTCAGGGCACAGTGAGCCCTGGCAGCCACTGGCTACCCTGGCCTGTCAGTCAGCCATGGCCCGATGCTCCCACTAGGTCCCTCATTAAGTGGAGCGAATAGGGAAGAACCCAGGGTTTCTCTGGGCTGAGGCCGAGAGGCCCTGTGTGAACCGCAGTTGAGGCGGACACACTACCACTGACCGTGCCCTGAGACTCAGCTCCAGTCTGAAAAAAGCAGGCAGAGAGATCAAGCAGGGGTCTCCGTGAAGCTGCCCTCCTTGGGATCCTAACTTGGTCCTAGTCCTGGTGATGGCACATACAACTCTTATAGAACCTCCCTTCCGTCCTTGTGATACATGCTCAGGATCCTAGGGGACCCCAAGTGCTTTCAGGCCAGGTTTGGGGAATGTCCGCGTGACATAAATTAGAATCTTTTCTGTGACAATAAATAAAATCGGGACAGCCTCAAATCCCAGGCCCAGCTGCTGCAGCTCACAGGAAGTTCTCTTCCTCCTCTGGTGGTACTTTGGGGGCACCTGCAGGAGTGGAGGAAACGGACGAGAGTGAGCGCACGTGCTATCCCTTGGTGGACCAACGCCCAGACCCACACGAGTATCACCTGTGCAGATGCCTGGGTGGCGAACGCCAATGGAGCGACCCCGGAAGCAGGTGGCCTGGCGCAGGTGACACGAGGAGATATAGGTAACGTTGTAGTTGCCACAGAGTTCCTGGCCGGGGCTGGAAGGCACCGGGCAGGGGGCAGAACGACACACCACACAGTGAGCGCTGCCGGTCTGGTCCACAAGGCATGAATGGGGGCGTGGGCACACTACGTGAGCACAGGACTCTGTGGGCCGAGAGAGGGTGGGTCAGGTCCTGGATGGTGTTTCCTCCCAATGAGTCCAGCTACCCTTAGACTAGGACTCCTCTAAAAAGCCCCATTCCTAGGACCCAAAGGTACCGCCATTCTTCAAGCCCGGCCCTGGAACGCCAGCTCCGACTTCGGGCAAGACGCCGCCCGAGAGGGCAACCCCCACCCTAAAACGCGAGCCCGGCTCACCTCCGTCAGAGACAAGCCCCGCCCCCAGGACAACGCCCCGTTCGGCCAAGCTCCACCCACGTTCCCCCTCCACGTCCATCCCGAGCCTCTTTCCCGGGTGCGCAGCGTCTCCCTCCCGCGACAGCACTTGTGAGGGCACGCTGGCCCGCAGGGCTGTGGAATGCTACGTGCTGCCGCGCGCAGCCCTGCCCCCGGACACGCCCGAGAGTCGCAGTTATCCCGGGGCTCGGGCTCAAACTCTGAAGCCCGTCAGGCGGCTTTGACACCCACCTGACCTGACCCTCAGGCCCCTCCGTAGAAGGCGGCCGTCGTGGCCACGCCTCTACAGAGCCCATTCACCAACATTTGCCCCCCACCCCGTACGGGTCACGCCCCTCAAGGCCCTGCCCGGAGCAGCCTAAGCCCCACCCATTTCAGACCATGCCCTTAAGTAGGCCCAGCGCTCCCCAAGCGCCTCTGCTCCAGGCTCCGCCCCTGCTTGGTCACACCTCCCTTAGTCCCCGCCCCTCAGCCGCCCGACTCCACCCTCGGCACGCACTACCTCCCCGTCTTATCTCCCTAAGCCCCGCCCCCAGACCCCGCTTTCATCTTCTATGGCCCCGCCCCTCCACGACCGTGGCCCTTACTTTGGCAGCGGCCTCGGTACATGACCCGCAGGTCCGGGTGTCCACGGCAGCGCGTCACGCGCAACTCGCACTCGTCTCGGTAGGTGGCGCCATCAGAGCCGCAGACCTGCAAGCCCGTGGGAAGCCCCTCGCAGTCGGGTGCGCACTCGCAGTGTGGACGGCCCCCCACCATGTGGCACGCCTTGCCGGGGCCACACTCCACGCCGTCGCAGGAATCTAGGGACACAGAACGTGCACAGGTGTGGTTCACCTTAGCGCACAACGGCTGAGTGCCTGAGCCTAGAGGGTTCCCACTAGGGCTTGGGGGAGGGGTTCCCACTAGGGCTTGGGGGAGGGGTTCACCCTGCACATCCTCATGTCTCAGGTGGAAAAACTGAGGCTCGCCTACACAAAGTCTTCGTGTTGGGGTTTCCACCTTGCCCCACACAAGACTTTATTTTGAGACAGCACCTCCCATAGCCTAGGCTGGCCTTGAACTCCTAATCCTCCTGCCTCCTACTTCCCAAGTGCTGGGAATCTGGGCCTGCACCACCACTCCTGTCCATGTGTTCCTTTTTTACCATTTTACAGATGGGAAAACTGAGGCTGTTATGGACCCCAACACATCCTAGCTTGAGAACATGATAGACTCGTGGACACCCTTCCCTCTCCCAGTTCAGTTGCTTTGTGGGTCTGGAGAGCAGACCTTGAACTCTCCGGAGGGAGCCACATCACAGGGCCCACCCACGAACCGGGAACTGACCCTCAGCCAACTTCAGGAAACCAAGGGACTAAAGGGGAGGGGCAAATTCCCCTCTGCAGGACCCAAGGAAGCAGGAGGCAACCCATAGGCCCTTGGGCCCAGGCCTGGCCGTTCTGGGTGTGTGTCCTCTTCCCAGAAGCTAGGGGTGGGGTCTGGAGGAAGGGTGTGTGGCAGTGGGCTTGGGACACAGCCAGGGTGATGTGACATTAATCCTATCCCAGAGGCCAGTGGGGGTCTGCAGCCTCAACTCCTGGCTAAGCTGCCTGTGGCAGCCGGCCTTCCTAGAGACTAGAGACGGTGTGCTCTTCCTTGTGGGCTCCACCCAGCAAACTCCTAATCGTCTCCCAAAACCCTCCATCTAATGTCCATTCTCTCCAAGTCCGTCCCCAGCACTATCCCCAGGCCCACAGAGAGACCGTCAGGACCCCACCCCTCACCTTTGCAAGGCAGGCAGTGCACCAGGCCCAGGAAGCCCAGCAGGCTGATTTTATTCCCCGGGTGGGTGAAGTTGGACCAGGCTGTGTTGATGTTGCTGGAGGCGCAACACTCCTCCCGACTGACTTCTGTCTTCAACACCAGGCTGCAGGTGGCCTCTCTGCCCTGCTGGAGCCAGCACACACCACCTATGTGGAAATGGAGGAGGAGGGAGACTCCAGACCTCACCTCTACCTATGAATTATTCTGTGCTGGCAAACCAACCCCCCATACTCCAGGTCTAATGCCCCCTCCAACTGAGAGGTGCCCATTGCTATCGTGGATATCCCGCCCCAACACAGGAGAAAGGCACAGAAAGCCACAGTTATGGTCCTGACTCTGCTCTGTGGGGAGCCCTCTTCCTCTGAGTCGCACCCCAGTGCTCCACCACCAGCTCCTGCCCAGCCTCCGGCCTGAGAACTGGCACCCTGCCCAGCCCCTTCAAATGCCAGGCACTCGGCATGTGAGGGTCTGTGGGCCTGCACTGGCTTCCCGCCTCTGCCCTGTCTAGACAGTGACCAGGGCAGCCGAGCCCCCGGCCTGCAGCCCCCCCTCGCCTGACCCGCCTCTTACTCACTCCAACTGGGGAACATTCCCTCTGCGTGAGCTCACTCCCCTGGGATGGGACGGGGGACGCGGCCCTAGGGGAGGGGGCTCGGCTCCCCTGGAGGCCAGCAACCCTGCAGGGCGGGGTGGAGGCTGGAACGCAGAACCCTCGGCTTTCTTCACCCTTAAATGGGGACAGCTGCATCCCCTCATCCGTGCTCAGGACACACTACCGACCGCCTTCCTCCAACTGGGCCCCAGCACCTCAGCAAACACTTTTCAAAAGAGGGAAACTGAGGCTAGAGCTCTCCCAGCCAGATGCAGGTACACCATTCCAACAGAGACGGTTCATCTAGGGGATCCTGAAACCCTCCACCCAGATGGCATTAGCAGGTCCAGCCACCCAGAGATGTCTCTCTAAAAGAGATGTCTCTCTAAAGGAGCCACCCACAGTGTCACTTACAAGGTTCATGACCCTAAGCCTCAGTTTACCCATCCTGAGAACGGGGATGGAAAAAGTACCCACAACTTTGGGTTCTGTAGTCTCATGGGAAAGCAGGTAAACAGTGAGAGCTTAATAAATAAATGTCAGTCCTCTCTTGAGGCTGGAGACGTGGAGCACCCCACTCGCCTACCCAACCAGAGCGCACCCCCAGACATCCCCCTGCCGCATTCCGCAGGCCACGTGGGTGGCCCACTCTCCCGCCCCTTCCGCCCAGCCCCACTCACCGGGCGCGGAATCCCCCGAGCCCATCACGGCACCCACGGATCCCACCGCCCAGACCAGGGCTCCCCAAAGCAGCGGCCACAGTGCCCCAGGACACATGGCGAGTGTGGAGCAGCGGGGACTCTGTGAGTGCGGGCGCCTCGGCCTATAAAAGCCCAAGGCGGGCGGGGCCGGCGGCGGGCGGGGCGGGGCGCGGCGGGACGGACGTGTCCCCTAGGCGCAGGGCCCGGGCCTGCGCGGGGGTGGCCGCCGGGGGCAGGCCCTGTCCCATCTGGGAACCAGACAGTTGTCTAGAAAGAACAGTCCACAGTGGGGTCAGGTCACAAACTGCGGCCCGGGGGGCATGTTCTGGGAGTTGACTAAGGTGGACACCTCCAGGTGCCTTTGGGGTCTCCACCTGGAGAGTGTCTGGAAGTTCGGGCTGGGCACCTCTGGTCAGACCTTCACACTGACAAGCCCCAAGGAGGCAAAGGGTGTCCCTGAGCTGTTCCCAGCCGTTTAAAGGCTCATACCTCTCATTCTAGCCGTTGGGAGGCTGAAGCAGGAGGATTGCTGCGAGTTCCAGACCAGCTGAGGCTTCAGAGTGAGTCAAACACGAGTCGAGGTCATCAGTAGCTAACTCGGTGGGCAGAGGGCTTGCCCAGCATGCACGAACCCTGGATTCCGTGGACACGATGGCGCACACCTGCCTTTCCACCTCGCAAGCTGACCACCAGGCTGGAGGATTAAGGTCAGAAGGAACTTCATTCCAGTCTGGGCGACCTGAGATTCTCAAAAAGAACAAAACCCAGGGGTTAGAAGATGCGTTCAGAAGTTAAGACTGATTGCCATACAAACAGGAAGACCTGTTCAAAAACTCCAGCACCTGTGAGAGACCGTAAGCCCAGGACTGTGGGCACCGGAGACCGGAGGGCTCGGCTGGGCTCACTGACTACAACTTCGGCGGGAGAGTCTGTGTGGAAGGGGTAAGGCCAAGAGCGCTAGAGCAGAACACCTCATGTCCTCTGGCCTGGGTGGGTGCATTCGTGCATCTGGACCCCCACACCCCTCAGACAGACATCATCAGGCACAGAGGCACACCCTAAAATTCCAGCACTTAGGAGGGTCACAAGTTCAAGTCCAAACCGGTCTACCTAGAGAGTCCAGGGCAGGAAGACCCTATGTCAAAGCAGTCAGGACGGTGGGTGCCTGTGATCCCAGCACTCAGGAGGCAGGGGCAGGCAGATCTCTGAGTTTGAGGACAGCCTGGTCTGCAGAGTGAGTTCCAGGGCATGGCGAGACCCTGCCTCAGAATAAGCACAGCAGAAAGGTGGCTCAAAGGGTAAGGTGCTTGCAGCCAAGCCTGACAACCTGAGTCCCATCCTCAGGACAGACACTCATGGCAGGAGACCTGCTTCCTTCAAGGTGTCCTCTGACCCCTACACCTAGCTGTAGCACACATATACAAAACAAATGTGTTGAGAAGGAGTGGGAGACTGCCTCCTCCTCCTCCCAGGTACAACCCCTGGATTCTGGCATAGGTAGAACATAGGTGCCATGGATTCCCACAGTCCCTAAGGGTAACTGTTACCTCCTATCTGAGGGCCAAAGTAGCCAGGTCACTCTTCCTTGAAATGTCCTGGCGTCCTATGGAGTCGCTCGCTTGTGGAGTTGAGATGATTAGTGGACACGCCGTGGTGTTGGGGAATCCCAACGAGCAAGGCTGATCTAGAACCATCCTCACCCAGCTCATGGTTTAGACAAGAAAACACACAGATGAGGACTTGCAGTTAAGAGCACTGACTGCTCTTCTAGAAAACTGGGATTTGGTCCCCAGCACTCACATGGAGACTTACAACTGTCTGTAACTCCAGTTCCAGAAGATCTGACACCCTCTTCTGGCTTCTTCAGGTACTGCACACACATGGTGCATAGGCATGGCAAGTGAAGCACCCATTCACATAAAATAAATATACTTGAAAAATACACAGATAAATCAATCTAGAACTAGAAAATACAGAGGGTACTATAGGAAGCACTGGGTTTCCTGAGATCACCCCCATCCTAACATCTACTCCAGACCCCTTCAGGTGACTTCTTCCCCCCAATTCTTGGCATCCTGAAGCTCCAGCGGATCCACTGGCTGTGGAAGGCATCCTTTTTCTCACCATAGCTGTCCTGTGCCAGTGAGGAGGGATCCTGACCTGGCTCTGGCCCCTGTAAGTCCCCCAAGGGTGTTCCTAGGTTGGAGTGGGGCACGGGACCCTATGTTCTCACCAAGAGTTTGCAGGAGGGAGTGGAGGGGGTGGACAGCACTGACCTTGGCCAAGGCCTGACCCGTCATGCTGGACAGCTGTGGCCTCGCCTGGGTGAATCAAAGGACCATTGTGTGGTTGGCACAGGTTCAGGGCCCCTCTCTGTCCTGCTCCCACATACTGGAAATCCACGGGTTCCCCAGGGACACCCTTGGCACAAGTGTCCCCAGCTCAGCCTTCTCTTCGGCTGCCCACTTCCTACTGACTCACGCCCCATGATCTCTGCTCAGCTTCCTAGGTTTCTCTCTCACCCAGACCCAGGAGCACAGAGGAAATGACAGGCTCACGACCCCGCGGCCCCTGACAGCTAGAAAAGCCTGGAGGGTGAAGCCATGCTTGAGAGCAACAGAAGAGGTCACGGCCAGCTGAGGAGAGATTTGTGTGTACGTGTTTGTGTGCATGGCGGCCAGAGGCCAGGGCCCCTCCTTATATTTTGAAATGGGGGGTCTTGGGGACACTGGAAGTTAAGTCACTAATTCAGCTAGACTGGTTGGCCAGAGAGACCCAGGGGTCCTCCTGTGTCTACCTCTCCAGTTCTGGGTTATATCCACACACCCAGCTGTGTCCACGGGTGCCAAGGATCTCAACTCAGAACCCCATGGTTGTGTGCCAAGTGCTCTGCCCTTCAGCCACATCCCAACCCTCATTTCTTTTTGACAAAATGTCTGGCTCTGTAGCTCAGACTGGTCTGGGCTCCAGATCATTCTCTACAGCTAAGCACAAAGGAAGGATCTGTTGGGCTGGAGTCTGAATGATGTGCCCGGAGGCACCCAGGACGACTGGAGTGGGGCAGACAGGGCTCTAAGCCAGAGCCTGGGGATCTGTCCCTATCTCTACTTACAAGAAGCTGTCCAGCTAAGGACCCTCCAAGTCTTGAGTGCGATGTCGTGATGCCACACACGCATCCATTCCAGGCTGAGGCAGGAGGATGACAAGCTTTGGCTAGTCCTGGCTGCAGGGAAAGACAGGGCCAGTCAAGTGTGGTGGCACACACCTTTAATCTGTGATTTCAAGGCCAGCCTGGTCTACTAGACTGGTTCAGGCTAGCCAGAAAACAATGAAATTTAGAAACCCAAACAGACAGAGTCACAGCTCTAGCTCCGGGTGTTGGAGTGGCAGAAGTCCTGGGCTCCACCCCCATACCTGAGAGACCAGTACTCACAAAGGGGAAGCCAACTGCTCTCCCTCCACTGGGGAAGACTCTGGGAGGCCAAGGTCATTCAACACTATATTTTTTTAAATTAGTATTTATTGAGCTCTACATTTTGCTCTGATCCCCTCGCTGCCTCTCCCCTCCCCCTTTCAATTCTCCCCCAAGGTCCCCATGCTCCCAATTTACTCAGGAGATCTTGTTTTTTTCTACTCTCTACTTACCATGTAGATTAGATGTAAGTCTCTTTTAGTGTCCACATTGTTGTCTAAATTCTCTGAGATTGTGGTTTGTAGGCTGGCTTTCTTTGCTTTATGTTTAAAAACCACCTATGAGTTAGTACATGTGATAATTGTCTTTCTGTGCCTGGGTCATCTCACTCAAAATAATGTTTTCTAGCTCCATCAATTTTATTGCAAAATTCAATGTTATTTTTTCCTGCTGTGTAGTACTCCATTGTGTAAATGTACCACATTTTCCTTATCCATTCTTCGGTCGAGGGGGATTTAGGTTGTTTCCAGGTTCTGGCTATGACAAACAAAGCTGCTATGAACATAGTTGAGCACATGTCCTTGTGGCACAATTGAGCATCCTTTGGATATATACCCATAAGTGGTATTACTGGGTCTTGAGGAAGGTTGTTTCCTAATTTTCTGAGAAATCGCCACACTGACATCCAAAGGGGCTGTACCAGCTTGCATTCAGCATAAGTTGTCATCAGTGTTTTTGATCTTGGCCATTCTTTCAGGTGTTAGATGGAATCTCAGAGTTGTTTTGATTTGCATTTCTCTGATGACTAAGGATGTTGAACATTTCCTTAAGCATCTTTCAGCCATTTTGTATTCCTCTGTTGAGAGTTCTCTGTTTAGGTCTGGACTCCATTTTTTTTATTGGATTATGTGATCTTTTGGTGTCCAATTTCTTGAGTTCTTTGTATATTTTGTCTGTCTCATGTGGGGTTAGTGAAGATCTTTTCCAATTCTGTAGGCTGTCAATTTGTCTTGTTGACCGTGTCCTTTGCTTTACAGAAGCTTTTCAGTTTCAGGAGGTCCCATTTATTAATTGTTTTTCTCAGTGTCTGTGTTGCTGGGGTTATATTTAGGAAGTGGTTCCCTGTGCCAATGTGTTCAAGTGTACTTCCCACTTTCTTTTCTATAAGGTTCAGTGTGGCTGGCTTTATGCTGAGGTCTTTGATCCATTTGAACTTGGGTTTTGTGCATGGTGACAGATATGGGTCTGTTTTCACTCTTCTATACCAACACTACTCTTTGAGTTCAAGGCCAGCCTAGGCTACAGGAGACCAGCACCCATGTTTTCATTTTTAGACTGGACCTGGTCCCCTCCTGTCTAACTTGCTGGATTGGAAGGCTGAGCCTACAGCTGCAGGCCGCTACTGCCATGGCCAGAAAGAAACCAGCCAGGCAAGATGCAGAGCCAGTGGGGGCCATCAGCACTTGCTATGGCAAAACAAGTCCTGGGTTTAGCCATGCCTGAACTCCTTCCCTGTAAGTTGAAGTCAGTATATGGAAAGTTTTTGCAGCATTCCAAAGGATTGCTTTGCATTTCATTCAAATGGAGTCTTGAGGGCACAAAGTGGTAGGTTCTTAGGACTCCAGACAGTCACTTCCTGTGCTTGCTTCAGCTTCCAGGATGTGGGGTGTAGCTCTGCAGGACATTCTAGGCCCGCACTCTGGA